TGCTTGGTTCAAAATATTTTAAATAAACAATTTCTGATTTTCTTAAAATAAGTTTTGAAAAAAATGATAATTGATATTTAAAAGAATTTCAAAGTGAGATTTTCATTTTTTTATAAAATGGAAAAAAAAAATGGTCAATTTTGCTGACTCAAAAAAAAAAAAAAATTTTAACAAAAATTTCGGAAATGCTAGAAACGATTAAAAAATGTAAAAAAAAAAACTCCCAAAATACTTTGATCTTTCCTCTTAATAATAAACATTTAGACGATAAAATTTTGCTTTGTCAAGTTTGACATCTTTTTCATCATGCTATGCTCTATTTTAGCGATCTCATGGAGGTACCTACCTAAAATATACTAACTGCATCAAATGTGAGAGTGGGAGAAGTCCTCTCAAAAAAGGGGTCATCGTCCCACTAAATATTTGCAGGCAAATTGAAGTACAGGACAGACCTTAAGGGCTAACATTGGAATTATTAATTCATTATGATGTTTGTTATATAAGACTTATAAGCAATACTAGCAGTAGAGCCCGGCGTTGCCCGGGGATATAACAGTAAGAGAGATCAAGTATCCACCATCATAAAGACTGAAAAATAAAATTGACAAAGATTATTGTTTAAGGTTGACGGACACGCATGTCTTAATGGGTTTTTTTTTTTTTTTTTTACGAATTGGTCAAACCCAAACAAAACATTGTTTTCAATCGTTATGAGTCTCGATTGAATAGAATAATTTTATAAACAATTGTCTTGTAAATGGAATTTTAAAGCATTCTGAATGTAAAAATAAAAGAAAAAAGTGTGCAAGACAATAAGAAACACTACATGCCAAAAAAAAAAAAAAAAAAAAAAAGGTAAGGTTTTGTTGAAATTGGTTTGAAAAATGTAGGTAGCCTTTCTGTAATCTTTTAGTTTTACAATTTATGATTTTTACTTATTGAATACAGTAAAAAAAAATTGCATATTTTGCTTGTGGTGATTCATAATTAGAATTCTGATTTGAATATATTTTCCACTCATTTCTAATACAAAAAATATTAACTTTATTTGGGTTTATTAATTATGATCTAACAAATCTTATTCATTTAGTAGCCTTTCTGTAATAGTAATCTTTTACAATTTATGATTTTTACTTATTGACTACAGTAAAAAAATTGGACACCATGTGTATTTAAAGTAGTTTCCCATTCCGGTTATTATTTTTAGTTAGGACTTGTGTATGTTTAGATTTCATTATCTTTCCCTAAAGATAGAGAATTTATTCTGATGTTTGTATTCATACAATCAGTAGAGATCGTTAGATTATTGTTTAAGGTTGACGGACACAGGTCTTAATTAGTTTTTTTTTTTTTTTTTTTTAATTGGTCAAACCCAAACTCAAACATTGTTTTCAATCGTTATGTGTCTCCCAATTGAATAGAATTTTATTATAAATAATTGTCTTGTAAATGGAATTTTTAAAGCATTCTGAATGTTAAAAATAAAGAAAAAAGTGTGCAAGAGAATAAGAAACACTACCTGCAAAAAAAAAAAAAAAAAAAACAAAAGTGAAGTTTTCTTTTATCGGCTGAAATCCGCTCCCATATTTAAAGGAACCCACACACACAAACAACCCGATGTGAGTTGTCCCCCTTCCATTTTCACGGTGTCTCTTAATCATGTTTTCAAATTGATTTTGTGCAAAAACAATTATATTTTTCCCCATTTTTGGCACTGTTAGAACCACCACAAGGTAATTTTATGTAGTCCTGTGAAGTTTTTGTTGAAATCGGTTGAAAAAATGTAGGAACCGATCCAATATATAAACGTTACAGACACACACACACACACACACACACACACACAATCTGCGTTTTATAATAAGTAAGATTAAATAACCAAACTATTGTTAATATGTAATCAACTCAGAGTACTATATTGTGGTAATAATTTTTTGGTTTCAATGCTGTTTTGGTAAGTGTTTTTGAGCTTCATTATGGCCAAACCGTTGTACTGATTATTTCCAGTTGTCATGAAAGATAAGCTTTTCACTGCAGGTTACTATTCAATAAATAAATACTTTTTTGTTCCATAATTACAGCATTTTAAATGGTGATTTCTTCTTTCTGATTTTAAGTGAGTTCATATAACACACTTAGGTTTCTTTATTCTTTTAAGTTGCTTAAAACTTCCTGAAATTGGAAAACTGAAACTAAATTTTGAGGCCTTTTCTACAAATCGTTTTCTGCTCTTTCATGTGATCATTTTGAGCATCTTTGATATCCATCTCTATTGCAAAACTTTAGAAAAGATATTTCAAACATTCAATGCAAGACTGATTAGTGCTACAGGAAGCCTGAATGGCATGGTAAAGAATGAATAAGTCTTCAATTTCTATCTTAAGTCTTGAACCATCAAAACATTAAATAAAAAAAAAAATTCTTAATTTACAGAAGGGGCATAGAATTACAGAAGAGCCTAAAAACCATTTCTGTAGACTAGAGAAATATTGAATCTAAATATATCATCATCAATCTCTCAACTGCTTCTGAAGATTGTGGCATATGATAGAGCTGCTATGGTACCCATGGCACATCCTCAAACTTGCAGGTAGTATTTGCCATTGAAATCAAAAGTACTCAATGTAAGAATATATTCCATAAGTTTTATGATTACTTCTGTGAGGGGGTCTTGTTTTGTTCTTTTAGTAAGTGCTTTTTTAAGAGTGGTTAATCCTTCAATGTGTTTGATGTTTGATGGTTACTAGAGTGACATTTTCTGGTACTGTTTGTATATGATTAATTCTGTTTAGTAGTATAGGTAGGCTACAGAGACCAAATTTTAAAAAAAAGTGGGCAAGTGTTTTATTCCACTCATTTGTGTTCAAGTAGAAGGAAATGGGCCAATGTTTTGAAAATTTTTGAAAATTGGGATGGAGCCAGATTGAAACATGCCAAGACCTGCTCGGAGCCCAAACAGTCACTAAAAATGACAACATATTCCAAATCTTCACCAAAATTTTTCAAATGATGAAATTCATAGTTCTACATATTCAATATTGAGGCTACACATTAATTTCCAAAACAATAGGGTATTTTGGAGGTGAAATAGACCAAATTTCAGGAAAAAACAAAGATAAAAATTGACTATTTCGAATTGAAATTACTGAATACTTCAACATTACATTCTATCAAGACACGTTATCGGACAAAAGTGTCCATACTTGAACATCTCAGGCCATTATAAAAAGCAAGAAAAATGGTCAAGAGTGTTTTTTGGTGACTCCAATTCACACATGTTGGAAAATGACATCGTGTCTTTGAAAGTAAACCATGCCACACATCTGAAAGTGCATTCATTGTACCCAATGAACTGGGAACACCACCCAGCGAAAGCATATATGTACTAATTAATTATATATATATATATATATATATATATATATATATAAAAAATGTCATCCACAGACTGTTTTACTGTATCACAGCTCATCAGTGTGGCTACACATCTGATTGCGTCAAGCCAGGATCAAAACTTGACTGATTTGGCATCAGTCAAAGATTTTTCTGCTAAGCTATTGGCTCTTGGCAGAGAGGAAGCTGAATTTTTACAGATTTATTTTGAATAAACATGCCAGTCACTCAGAGTGCTCAATTCATAGAAAAGCTTTGCATTATTAGTAGTAGCAGTCAATGTTTACAAATTCATGCTTTTTCTCTCTCTCTAAAGTGCTCAAACAAAATTTATTTTTTCAGGGGCATATATATATATATATATATATATATATATATATAAAATTCAGACTGTTTCACTGTATCACAGCTTATCAGTGTGACTAGACATCTGATTGCATCAATCCAACTGATTTGGATGTAAAAATAGCTATAACTGCTAGATAATGATGAACAAAAAAAAAAAAAAAACTTTACTACATTACTCAAAAATTGAAAGCCAAATAAAGTAAATGAAAATATACAAAATAAAAAATAAGTAAATAGATAAAAAACAAATAAAAAAATTAATCCAAATAAATAAATGAACAAATTAACAAATTGTACATGCTAAAATAACCATTAGAACTAATAGAAATAAGCATAAATAAGCAAAAACAAGTAAAAATAATCAATCCAAATAAATAACTTAAAAAGTGTCCCCTCCACCAAAATAACAGAATAGACTACGGCAACAATCTAAACATTGGACAAATAAATAGCTTTATCTTCCCAGACCAAAACAAACTATTAAATAAGCAACCTAAGCATATCACCCCAAAAATTTTTTACTACATCAAAAACGGAAAAGAATAATAAAAAATGAAAATGAAAAACAAGCAAAATAAATTAACCTAAACAAATAAATAAATAAACAAACAAGCCACTCCCACAAAAATAACTACCAGAATAGATTACACACAATGCACCACTAACCCATATATATAAATGGTTGAGGAAAAATCCAACATTTGCAGCCTGACGATTGCATCTAGCATGAAACAGCCTGTCGCCTCTGAGTGTTGACTTCAATGTTACTTTTTATATATATATATATATATATATATATATATATATATATATATATATATATATAGAGAGAGAGAGAGAGAGACAGACAGAGAGATCTCATAGCCTGACTAAAACATGGTATAATAAAATCAGCTATTATTTCCCAAATAACTTGTAAACCACTTAAGAGAATTATACTTACATTTTGGAGTTTGAAAATCTTGCGTCTTTAAGATCTCAATAACAATATCCTTTGGTGCTGATTGGTCTTTATTTACAGTAGGTGTGCTTTGCAATGAAGTTGTGTCCAAGACAGCTGCTGATGGAGAAGGAGATGTAAGTTTTAAGGAATTTAAATGAATGATTTTAACAGAACCAGCAGAAGGCTTTTCAGATGATGTTGACAGCACATTCTGTTGAACATCTGGTGAGTGTTGATTTTTATCTTGCACTGATGTAGTGAAGATTACTTGCAGATGTTCTGAAGATTCCTGACATTTTATGGCAATTGCTTTGACTTGTGCAGAGGACGGAGTTGTGAATTCTGACTCAACTCTAGCAGCTGCATTTGGAGTGACCAATAACTCACAGTCTTTTTCTTCCAAAGAATGGCTTTTTTCTGTCACATTGAGCAACACGGGACTTGACTGAGAATTTAGCTGGGATGCTAGACTGAAAGACAATGCTCCACTGGGTGGAGACTGGAGTCCTGTAGGAGACTGAAAGCCAGAATCTATGCTATTACATGGGGATGAAGAGGTGATGGTTGTAACAGCAACAGGGGAGGTGACACGGGAGAAGTTCACTTGACTCACTGGTGCAGAGTAACCCTGGTCATAGTCATCATCTGTTATGTTACGGAGGTTGCGTTTGATGTCATCTGAATTGGAAAGACGTGAAATAGATCGACGTATATGGGGAGAGTCAGGAGAACCAGAGTAAGCATAGTTTATTTTCTTTCGTGCTGGCTGCAGAAGTGTTTCATGAGGGCTTTTTCTTGACTGCTTCGACCACATCCTCACAAAGGGTCATACATGTCAGTATCAGTGCATTCCTAACAGAGAAAAAGAAAAAAAGAAAACATTTTAAAATTATTTTATAATAAAAAAGGGTGATTTTTGTGTCTTATTATTTTAAACGAAGGGGGGGAAGGAGAAGTGCTCTTTTTATTTCATGATAAACGAGGGGGGGGGGTCTTTATCACTGCGTGATAAAGGGGGGCGGGGGGATAAACGAAGGGGGGGTCTTTATCACTGCGTGATAAACGTGATAAACTGCGTGATAAACGAAGGGGGGACGGGGTCTTTATCACTGCGTGATAAACGAAGGGGGGGCAGGGTCTTTTTATAAACGAAGGGGGGGGTCTTTACTGCGTGATAAACGAAGGGGCGTGATAAACGAAGGGGGGACGGGGTCTTTATCACTGCGTGATAAACAGAGCTTTTTGCATATTATTTTATGATAGACATGAGGTGGAGTGGTTGTGTCTTTATTATTTTATGATAAACAGATGCTGACATCAATTTTTTTTATTCTTTTATGATAAAAAATTATTTATGTCACCAATTAAAAGATAAGATTTATTAAACAAATTCATTAAAAAAAAAACTTTCACTCATTCTAACATATACAACTTCATTTTAACCACCTCACCTAAACTTTAACCATGTTCCCCCCCCCACTCCTCAGGAGAATGTCATTTTGTTAAATACACATTTCTGCAAGTAACAATGGAATACATACAGGGTATAATCCATCCAAGCCTGTATAGAAAGTGGCAAAAAGCACCCTTAAATTTATTAGGCTTTAAATAATAAAAGCCTATACTAGTGGGTGCTGAAAAGTTCTCAACCTGATCCACTTATCAAAATATATGACCAAATGACTAAACAGAATCTATTTTTAGTAATCCTTTCTTGGATGAGCAAAGAACTCTTCAGTACCTACTTTATATAAGTATTAAGCAGCTGTATAAATTTCCATGACATATTGCTTCTAAATCCTCATCCTGTTCCAATTTAGAAATAAAAGATTAAAAAGGATCCTGCAAGTCACAAATTCTTGGCACTAGAGAATGATCTATATAATCTTGGAATATCCAGCCTCAGGGTTCACATTCTGAGCTCTTCTTTGCTACAAGCTTATTACTTAAATACTCGCTGTTTATGTAAACTCTAATTCATGAATCTTGGTATATCCAGCCTCAAGACTCAATAGATATAGTTTTGTCTTGACAAAAGTTGAGGAAGATTGATGACTTATGTAGAAAAATCACGTGGTAGAGATAAACACTCAGTTGTGGAGCAAGCTAAGTGAATAATAATCCAACCTTTAGAAAGAGAGCTATTTATGTTGCCATGGAGCATCTCATTGTGCTAAAGTGGGATAAGCCATTGCTTGGGCTGTGATTGGCTGCTGGTACCTGAGTAGAGGTATTTCTATATAAATACCAGCTTGATTTATCAGTTAGTTTGCAGGGTTTGTATTAAGTTACAACCTGCTTTATTTTTGTCTACCAGCTGGACGCTAGCTGGGACCTTTATGCCAGTAAGTGCTGTTTATTATTGTTATTCTACATCTCCTTCCCCCCCATCACGTGTGGGTAGTGGCCTTTAGGGAGGTGTGGGTAGTGGCGTTTAGGGAGGGATGGGTAGTGGCCTTTAGGGAGGGATGAGTTCCTTTAAACCTGGCTGGTTGTGCAGAAGTAGTCTGGACAATGCCCAAGGGGTTTTTGTCCGTGTTATTGTAGACGACTGAGCAGTGTTCGATGTTATCCCAGCGTCGAATGTTTGTGGCACTGGTGTAGGGGTCTCGGGTAAGGCACTAGGTCTGGGAACTGGAATTGTAGGTGTATCCAGTTTCCTGAGGAATCGGCGATTTCGTAAGGTAATTCTACCTGATCCATCAACTCTGATACGGTATTGATGGTTGGGGAGGGTTTCAATGACCTGACCTGTTGTGTCCCATCGGCAGGTTGTTGGTCGTTGTAGTGCCACTATTTGTCCTTTTGAAGGGGGGTTTAAGGTGTGTGTTGTTCTGTTGTATCGCTTATGAGACGAAGCGCCCGGCGGGACAGACTTATCTCGCGATTTTGGGCTGTGGTTATCCAATTCGCATGTGGCTTATAGAGTGTGGTGTGGGATGGTATGTAGTCACGTAGTCGGTGGTGGAGTAGTAGTTAATCAGGGGATAGCCCAATGTTTTGAATGGGCATATTCCTGTATTGGAGGATGGCTCTTGCTGCACGATTATTGTCCAACGATCCTTGGGCTCCCGTGTTGCCATTTACGATTCTCTTTACCGTTTTGACAGCAAGCTCTGCCCGACCATTGGATTGTGGGTAACCAGCAGATGATAACCTGTGTTTAACAGCCCAGTCTTGTAAAAATTGCTTGAATGTAAGAGATGTGAAGGGTGGCCTACCATCAGTGCCGAGTTCCTCGGGAGCACCGTAGGCTTGAAATATGTCTCGGTAAATTGAAATAATCCTTGACGCATTAGCTTCTCCGTGGCTCAAGTGGTATAGATTTAGCCAGCCTGTTAACCTGTCAGCGCATGCTAAGTAACCATGGTTCCCAACATGGAAGATGTTCATGATGATTTGCTGAAATGGCCAATCAGGAGATGGTGTCAAGTTGATTGGCTCTTTTGGTTGACTCAGGGCAATTTTTGAGTAGAACGTACAATCTGCTCTAATGTTACATATTGAAGCATTCATCCCGGGCCAATAAACAGATTCATTGGCACGCGCCTTCATGCCAACTTCACCTTGGTGTGCAGAATGTAGGCTATGTAAGACTGTTGCGCGTTGAGAGGTGGGGATAACGATTCTTTGATCTAATAGCACTAATCCATCGTCAACACTTAGGGCGGTGCCTCACTTCCCAGTATTCAGGATTTGGTGCAGTGAGGCTGCACATCCTTTGGAATCTATTTCGTATTATCTCAATTAATTTTTTTGTATTATGGGTCGCTGCGCCCCGCCGCACGGATAACGTCTGGTGAGATCAGCTCCAGGTTGTCATTTGCAACCGAATGTTGCTAATAGGGTTGTTGATTTGACCCAGTCATCCATGTTGTCAGACTCTATGATGACTGACTGAGAGGGTTCAGCAGTAAATACATTTAGGAGTGCCTGTGAGATGTCTGCTGGGTTACGAGAGACAGCATCGGAGGCTCTGTGCCATTTTCCAGGGCAGTGCTGAATGGTGAAGCTGTACCTGAGGTTTTTCCTTTAACCTGAATAATCGGGGGTTTTTGGATTTACTAAGGTCTATCTCCGAATAATCCTTTTAATGGTTCATGATCTGTAACCACTATGAGATTCGGGCAACCCATTACAAAAATGCGACATTTTTCCAATGCCCACGCAATTGCTGCTGCCTCGCCTTCAATAGGTGCATATCTGCGTTCAGCATCAATGCAGAATCTGCTACCAGCAAATATCAGGCGCCAACCTTCAGGGCAGCAAACTGGGGCTTTGTCAGTGGTGCATGAGCAATACTTCTGTAGAAGTAGGAAGCCCATTCCGTCTTCGCTCCAATCTGGGGCGAGGCAGGTTATTCGTTCTTTTTCAAATGTTGCAATGCCTTTTCGAACTTAGTCAACTATGACCTTCTTTGAATGCTGGAATGCATCCTCAAGGCTTTTATTCCATATAAAGTGTGAGATCACGAAATGGAAGCATGACTGGGCTCAGTGTGTATGCCCAAGCTACTTGGTTGACCAGACCAAACCATAATCTGGCATCAGTGAGTGTTTTTGGTATTGGGAAGCTTAATATCGCCTCCAGCATGGATTTAGAAGGGGTTACACCAGAGGATGTTATCTGGAGGCCCCCAAACTGCACAGTGTCTTGGCAAAATTGGAACTTTTCTCTATTGTGTACGATGCCGTTTTTTGCACAATGGAAGAGGAAATCGAGGGTGTGAAAGAAGGCTCCTTTGATGTCAGAGTCGAGAGTAGTGTGTCATCTACGATTTTTACTTTTTATGGGGATGTCTTTTTATTACTTCATCATACCTTCGGGTGTAGGCATCGCCAGATGCTAGGTAACCTTGTGGCATCCTCAGGTACATGAACCTTCCCCATTCTGTGATGAAGGTGGTGAGTGGCTGGGACTCTTTATCTAAGGGGATGGAATGATATCCATCAACAGAGTGGAGGTATTTCTATATAAATACCAGCTTGATTCATCAGTTAGTTTGCAGGGTTTGTATTAAGTTACAACCTGCTTTATTTTTGTCTGCCACTTGGACACTATCTGCGACCTTTATACCAGTAAGTGCTGTTTATTATTGTTATTCTACAACTTATACATTTGTTTTGGAAAGTTTCAATTACTATTATACATTGGAAATCAGGAAGAAAGGAATTAATACAAGCATTACTGATAGATTTATACACAATCATAGATATAGTGTGTATTATCATTGTTGATAACTTTACTATAGAAATGCTTCAGTGGTCAAGAATTAATGCAAGCATTACTGACAATTACAAATTTAAAAAAAAAAAAAAAAAAAAGAATATAATTAATTTCAAATTGTAGTCTAATTCTCATTTTTATATAAATATGGCAACTGCTGGATATTAAAATCAAATAATTGAAGGTGTAAAAAAGACATGAGTCTTGTGATGTGTGCAAGCCATATAAAAAGGTCCAGCACCATCCTTTAGTATCATTGCCTCTGCAGCAGTAACAAATAACAAAAATGAAAACACTAATACATGCTATCTTAAAAAACAAAAAAAAACAACAAAATTATATACACATACATACATCTCACAACAGTTACCCCCACCTGGTACTCACATGATATTCAGACAACCTGCTCTAAGCTGTGACAGTTCTAATCTTATATATTTAATTTTCTGTCACAAATGCAAGAAAAACCAGAAGAGAGTTTGGTTTATGGATCAATAACCAAAAGAAAAAACATCAGGGACAACAACAATTTCTAGTCTCTGTACACTTCAACCAACCTGGTCATAACATCAATGATGTTGGGTGTGT